AGGTGAGCCATTGACGCACTCTATAAATGCTTTTATGCATCAGAATGGCGCTAGTGCACTATGTACATCTCGTTGGTTCATGTTTGAATGCACAGCAAGTGGCAACCTCCAAGGCTGAAAAATGAAAAAAAAGTACCAAAAACTGCAGTTCCTCTAATGACCACTTGAGGTCAGCTCCAAAAGTGAGACAGTCTCCAGACAGTCTGCTACAAAAAACAGTTTTGGTCTCTACAGCTAATTTCCTCCTTCATGACAACTATACAGGGGATGAATTTTTTATGTAACTCACCTGTTTACATTTTATTAAGGCTTAAAGTTATGTCCAGTTACTTTGTTAAATGTCCAACTTTACAGCAGAAATAAACATGTTTACAGCCTGGTACAAAAAAAGTATATTTTGTTTTTAACAGTTATTATTATTAAATAAATTTAATGAGTTTCTTTTTAACTGCCCGGGGGGGGGGGGGGGGGGGGGGGGTTTATATAACTCACACTGTTTAACATTTTCTTAAGGCTTAAAGCTCTGTATAATTGAGGGTGTGACAACTTTGAGTGACATTGGTGAGCATATGCTTGCCACAAACCCAAATTAACCAAAGTTCACACTTTTTAGCCATTACTCAAGATTTCACATTGCAATTATGCAATGGTTAATATTTTGTATGACTCTGGATAAACAGGGATGTAACCTGAAACGTCTGATTGGCAGAGGGATACAACTACGAGGAGGGAATTCTAGTTTTTTAAAGACAAATGGAAAAAATCTGCCCCTGTTTTTAATACAAATCAACTTCCAGGCCACCCTGGAACAAAGACACATATCCTAAGTGCAACAACCTGCTACTATCCTGGTTCAACAAAGTAGCACGCAGTTTTAGATAATTCCTGAAGCAAGGAAAAAGGTGATCAGATCCCACTGACAAGAAAATGTTCTTGCTTTTAAAAACAGCAAGACAGCAAGTCTTGAAGGCTAAATCTGAGATTTTAGATACTGTAGAAATTGTGAAAAATAGCGGTAGACAATTTTTAGCTCTTCACACACCAAGCAAGAAGAGACAGAGCAAAACACAACAACGGTAACTTCACTCCCCCAGACTAAAGTAGCGAGTCCTCGGTGAGCATCATGGTGGATGAAAATGTACCCCACTGACTGAAGACTAGTGGGGATGTGAGACTGTGGGAGGCCATGAGTGGGGACAGGTGCAAAAACTCCAGCCTTGTCTGTGAGTGTGGTCTGCTGATGGGGTGCAGACCAGACTCAAAGTACAGCATTCATACAGTGATTAAACTGCTCACACAAACCATTGGCCTGTGGGTGGTATGCGGTGGTGCGGTGGAGCTTTACCCCAAGGCTCTACGCAACTGTGTTCAAAAGTTCGGATGTAAACTGTAGGCCTCGGTCAGAGGAGAGGTCTGATGGGTCCTTACAAATGTCTGTGCCACCTCTGCAGATGATGTTGATGACAGTGGAACAGCATCTGTCCATCGAGTGGTCCTGTTCACCATGATGAGGAGATGAGTGTAACCGTGGGGTGGGGGCAGGGGGCCACACATTGATGTGGTCGAATTGCCTTTCTGGCACCAGGAACTGTGCCCAGGGAGTTTTGGTGTGGCATTGCATCTTAGAGTGCTGGCACTCCACACAGGTGTCAGCCCGCCCTCTTACATCCTTCTTGAGTCTATGACAGACAAATTTGGCTTCCACCAGCCTTTGAGATGGCATCCTGCCCCGGTGGGAGAGGCCATGGACAGCATCAAAAATTGCTGCCAGCCCATGGGGATGAGGGGTCAGGGCTGACCTGTGGAAATACATCAAAAGCCACATCCTACAACTGCAGGCCCATGGAAACCGTCCTGAAGGGATGAACAAGCGCCATAGCGAATGTCAGTGGCTTGTGGTCCACAAAAGCTGTGAACTGGTCTCGTTCCAGCAGGGAACAGAAGTGTTGAATGGCAAGGTAGAGGCCAAGGCTCTCCCTGTCAAAGGTTCTGTACTTACGTTCACTGGGGCGTAACTGAGGGAGAAAGCAAGCGGCTGCCAGGCGCCATTCACCCACTGCTTGTGCACTACGCTGACAGCATAGTCTGAGGTCTGTGGTGAGCTTTGGGTGCCAGCATGGTTGCAGTCGCCAGAACAGCCCGAGTGTTTACATACGCCTTGTCCTTCTCCTCAGACCAGTCCACCTGTGTTTGGGGGCCCTGCCCTTAAGGGCTTCATAGAGGGGTTGCATGAGGTGAGCAGCCTGGGGAATAAAGCAGTGGTAAAAGTTTACCATGCCAAGGACCTCCTGCAGGGAAGGTGTGACCCCAAACTTTGCTTGGTCAAAACACCAATTGCCGTTGAGGAGTTGTTGCCACAGCAGCAACCGTGGTGTCCCCAGGCGGAGGTGAAAAGTGTCCAGCAGCCAGGAAAAACTGATCAGCCTCCACAAAAGCATGGAAGTCAGTGATGACTGTGTTAGCTAAACCTGCCTGCACCTGAGAAGGCAGCTGTCACCGAGGCCTTGCAGAGAGAATAGCCGGCTGGCCCACTCGGCATCATAAAGTTCAAACGTTTTCAACAGGTGAGCTTTGAGCGTCTCGTATTTATCCTGTGTCCCCCTATCCCGTATTTATTTGTGAGGAAGCTCACCACCCTGGCTGCTGTTGAACCCACTGGACACCACATAGTAGGTGTCACTCGTGGTAATCTCCCGAAAGGCGAACTGCGCTTCTATCTGGGCGAACCAGGCCAAGCAGACAACTCCCAGACCTCAGGTAGCTTGAGGGAAACCACATTGGTTGCCATATCTGTGAAGAATCTCTGGAGGCATCCAGCAGACAAATGTCGTGGTCACAAGTGTAGAAATTGGGAAAAATAGCAGTAGACAATTTCTAGCTCTTAACTCACAAAATGTATGTGTCCTTTTATTAACACACCAAGCAAGAAGAGACCAGGAAAAACACAACAATGGTAACTCTACTCCCCCACACTAAAGTAGTGAGTCCCTTACATGGAACCACCTTCTCCCTTATGGTGACCATGTCACCCTATTCACTGAACCAACACCCAAGAGAACACAGAATGACTTTGTTTAGAAAAAATACAGTGCAGCGGACAACCAATAATGGTGAATGATGTGCACAGAATCCACTACAATACAACCAAAAAGTAAGAGGGGAAAAAGGCATACAGTCTGGGCTACTGCCAGCCAGAACACTGATGCTGCTGCTGCCTGATTTTATCTATGGCTGGCCCCAAAAGCCTTACACATGTAAAACAATATGCTGTGTGTTCATATCCAGACTGTACAGTGGAACCAGATGTGAGTTTTAAATGCTACTCAGCAGAGCAGGACTGTGAGCCCCTGACTCCACTACAGTTTCAGTCACACGCTATTATGATGTGTACAGTGTCTTTACAGTGTTTTTCTATCTGTGTTAATATTAAAATCCATGTGGGAGATGAAGTTGTACAGTAATATATACTAAACCAGTGACTAGCTCACCAGAGTAAACACACTAACTATTCAGCATGTTCCAGTCTCTAACAATGAAGCTTCACAGTTGTCATATGCAGACGACAGTCCACATCAGAGCTCAAAGGGCTGGACTGAAAATCTGTGTGTCTGATAAAAGAGGAAGCAGCCTGTGGAGCGGCAGCTGACCCATGAACATGGCTGCCACAGTGGGGTCTAAAGCTTTTTTAAGAGCTGTGGTCATTAGTGTGACTACATACAAGGTCATGCAGGGATTAGGCTGCATGCCAGTGATGCAGGAGAGGTGTTAGAGAAACGTTTGAATCTGAGACCACTGAAAAGCTAATAGCAAGACAAGCTACATGTGCTTATTTTATTTCGTTCTTTTTAAAAATATTTTCCAAATATATATAAAATGAGCTTGTCTGGTGTTTTATCACCAGAGTTACTTGAGAAGATTAATATCAATTCAGTTCAGTACAAACATACTGTTGGGGTATGTTTGCACAAAAAGCTTATCTTAGCACAAAAAGCAAAAACATAGAAAAACTGCTAGACAACAGTGAAAGGTAACGAATAGAATTACTCAGTAGTGTAGTTAAACACATTTTGAAGTTACTTGTACTTGAGCTTTTCCATTTTGAAATTCTTCACTACATTACATGTGGATATATTATTATATATTACATTTTTTATTCTACTACATTCATGTAAAAAGTACTAGTTACTCATTATACTACTTATACAGCCTTTTAAAATGTTGTTTATACTTCTTTGAACTTTCACTTTAACATATTTCAGGGGGAAAGATTTCAGTTAGCTGCTGAAAATAGCCTCACTGTAACCAGCTACAACATTAGCATGCTGTGACATGTTTAAGTCATAATACAATAATATAAAATACAATAGTCTTTTTGCTAATCTAGGCTAGGCTAATAAATGGTGGAGGTGAACTTGGTCCTGATGTTCTCATTGTTATTTAACTTAATAGTTAAATAACAATGAGAACTTAAATGACAGGTTCACATTTTCTTTTTACGTGTCTACTTACATGCTCATAAGGTTGCTGTTATTTTTTCACCTTCCATTACTAACACACTAACACAATGTAAAAGATGAGGACAAAATTTTAATTGAAACATGGACGAAAGTTAATACGAGTTCAGATAGTAAATTAAGTCACACTGTATTATCCCTCTCCTGCAGCTCAGCAAATGAAACTCTCCAGAAACACTAAAAAGATCATGACACTGCAAAGAGACCCAGTTCATCTGTCTGTCATTAGCTTCTGGTGAATGCATCTTTACACAGAACAAGGACTATGAGTTTTGTCCCACATCTCAATTAAATCACAATTTAATTGTGAGATTGTAAGAATAATTTAAAAAGACTTTTTCAAAGCATATATAGTATGCGAATATTATACTGAAGAAATCTGAACCTCTTCGTTAATGGCAAACAAGCCGATTTCTGTTTCTTTAGAATTTTAAAGGAAAAAGAAAAAAAGACATTTTACAAGTTTTGCCAGTTGCAGTGGTGAGATTGTTTTTATTCTCATAAACAAATCAATGTAGTGTATATATTTAATATTTTTTCTATAAATATAAAAGTTCTCTTCATAGCAAATGCAAAGGAAATTACTTCAAAGCCATGACTATTGTCGAGCTATCAACACATTAAAAGGATTATTATTAACCGGAAGCACCGTGTGGAGGAGTGTCTGACAAGAACACAAGTCCTGATGTGTGTGTGTGTGTGTGTGTGTGCGTGTGCGTGTGCGTGTGCGTGTGCGTGTGCGCGTGTGCCAAGCTGAGCTGCCGTGACAGCAGCTGCTCTGGATCTCAACACAAGGTTTCCTTTCTCCTGCAGTGGAATACATGCAAGCTGTTCTTCAGTCCTTCAGCGGAGCTTAGCAGCTACATTCACCATGATCACATGACTCATTCTCCTCACACACACTCAACCTCAGGGTTAACAATATATACATAAAAACACCTTGTGTTACACACATTTGTGACGTATGCATGATATACACCCGTTGGACAGAACCAGATTTACAATGCCATGTTTCTCTCCGGACAACCTCTGAAGGAAATTCTTCTGATTCTGATGATGTTTATAAAATTGCTATAATTTCTAATATGTTATTCACACTTGCATCCTTTTTGCCATGAGGATTAATTAAGTAGATAACCTGAATAAAAAAACACATGCAGGTGCATTTACTGTTCGATTTCAAGTCATCTCTTGTGCACTGTCAGATAAAGTAAGCAGAGTGTGATCTTTCATTTTAATTTCAAAATTGATAAACTTTGGCCTAAATGTTGTCAATAAGCATCATGTTACACAGTATGATTGTGTTTTCTGAACCTAAACCCATGCTTCACCCTGAAATCATTAGTTAAAAAAATCTAAATTGGTCCAATTCAAAGATCTGCACATCATAAGATGTAACAGTTTGACCCATTAGTTTGCATTGACAGTGATGCAGGTTCACTAATTAATCTAAAGATTATTTACTCATTTTGTATTTTTTTTTTCAAAAAAATGTCAGAAAATTGACAGAAATGCTCATTAACATTTTGCCAAAGCCCAAGGTCATGTACTGAAAAAGTTTATTTTAGTGAACCAACGATCAAATACCCAACCAATTCTCAAATCCTCACATCTGATAAACTGCAATTATTCTCAACTTTTGCTTGAGAAATTACTGAAATTACTAATCAATTCATTTCCTTTCAAATGACAAATCAATGGTTCATCAATAATTATTTTAATTCTACTCTTTTTGTGAACCTAATTGTGTTTACACTACCTATTCATTAAATTGAATGCATGAAAATAAATCAGGTTTTCTTGTTACTTTTATGTTACAAAACCCACTGTAAAGGCTCAAAGAGTGTCCAATGATATTACATAGCACTGTATACACTGTATGCACTGTATATGGTGTAGGTTTAAAATGTGCTCTCTCTCTCACACACACACACACACACGTCTTCTGCTTGTACATTATCCAGCTTTGTATGTAGTGAACTTGAAACTGGCTGCAGGGGTAGTTTGAGTTGTTAAAATACAAACAGACCAGGCTGATGCTGCTTTGAATCATTGTTGAGGAGCATACAAGTGTTTACATGTTTTAGAATCACTTACATCACAGCTACGCATTTTTAACACTATAATATTTTATATTTTGAAAATGTTTTTCTTCCCCTGGTTTCACAGTAAATTAATCTATATGGATCTGCTTTCATTTTGGTCAAATTTATTATTGTTGTGTTATACTGAAGGGTCTTTTCAATGTAATACAACAATAAAACAATTTAAACACAATAAAGCTCAGCTCATGATGGACATATTTTACTGAAAATATGTTTCTAGAAATCAATAAAATAAAATGTTCAGGAATAAAAACATGCAATAACACTGGTATGCTCCTAGGTGTGCTTTATTTGGAAAGGAATGTAATAACTGTAAGGGCCAGAGCTACAGGCCACGATCATCTGTCACAATGACTCACATTCACAACCTGTGCCCCGTCTCTTGTCCCAGACTGCTGACATTTCCCCTCCAGACCAGGGCGACTGCTGCTCCACTGTACAACAGACGCAAGCTGCAGCTAGTTAATCAAGGATAAGAGGCAGCCACGAGGAAGCACTTGGGTTTCACGGGACTCTGCTTAGAATAGACCCGGCGCTCACAGGCAGTTCACTGATTCAAAGACGCACACACCCGATGTGAAACGCTCCCACTGGTGTCCACAGTGAGTCAGGTCATGAGACCTCAGGCTCTTTGATGGTCAGCTGGCTATTTGTGATGGTTAAGTACAATCCCATTATGTCCAAAGTATGAAAAAGTATTGTTTTTTTTTGTTTGTTTGTTTTTTTTAAAAAGAATTTTAAAAATCTTTAAATACAAATATATACTTACAAAAATCTCACAAATGTATATGTACATTAAAAAACATACAGTGTCTCCTGTAGGTCAAAGACAAATCAAATGAACATAATAAAGAGGATTATCATTCAGTTTGTCACTAAGCAGTCTGTGTGAGAGTGGAGGCGAAACCACGTTACACTGTGGTCTCACCCTGTTTACTGTTGGCCAGTCTTGTGTAAAACCTCCTCCAGGAGTTGAGTGTCTTCCCAGACCAGATCCAAAATCCAGAGGTGATGCCCACAATGAGCGTCATGAGATACTTTATCATGAAGACCGTGAAGTCAGGGCTCATGTTTGGGTGGTTCTGAATGGGACATGGCACCGCGTATGTCTTACACGTCTGGCTGATCCACGTCCTCTCCCACTGCTCTCTGAAGGCCTGCTCGTAAAAGTAGCAGGCGATGACAATGGTGGCCGGCACAGTGTACAGCACACTGAAGATCCCTATCCTCACCATTAGCTTCTCCAGCTTCTCCGTCTTGGTGCCGTCATGCTTCATGATGGTCCGGATGCGAAACAGGGACACGAAGCCCGCCAAGAGGAAGGAGGTTCCGATGAACAGGTAGACAAACAGCGGCGCCAGAACGAAGCCCCGCAGGGCATCCACGCTGTTGATTCCTACGAAGCAGACCCCACTCAACACGTCTCCATCCACTTGCCCCACAGCCAGGATGGTAATAGTCTTGATGGCGGGCACGGCCCAGGCTGCCAGGTGGAAGTACTGAGAATTAGCCTCGATGGCCTCGTGGCCCCATTTCATGCCTGCTGCCAGGAACCAGGTGAGAGCCAGGATGACCCACCAGATGGAGCTGGCCATACTGAAGAAGTACAGCATCATGAAGAGGATGGTACAGCCCTCCTTTTTAGTGCCCTGTACCACAGTCCTGATGTCATTATCAAACCTGTCATTGCAAACCACTTTGTCCTCCAGTAAAAATCCAGCAATGTAGGCGATGGACACCATAGAGTAGCAGCCAGACAGGAAGACGATGGGCCGCTCTGGGTAGCTGAAGCGCTTCATGTCCACCAGGTACGTCAGCACGGTGAACAAGGTGGACGCACAGCACAACACGGACCAGATCCCGATCCATATTCGCGCGAATTTGAGCTCCTCCTCGCTGAAGTACATCATCCCGTGGGATCTCTTAGGCTCGCACGGAGCGCCGCAGTTCTCCTGCCCGAGGAAGCGATAGTTCAAATAGGGAGGCACCCTGAGCGAGGCCGGGCACCTGAACTGACCGTTGATAGGATCAGAGGGAGTGCGCTCGGTGGGGTACGGACCAGGGGCCTCAGACTCGGTGCGGTCCGACATGTTCTGGCCGACGCACAGCTCTCCCGCGCCGTGCACCGGGAAAGACTCGCAGGCGAGGGTGTCGGGCCATTGGAAGCCGAACTTGTTCATGAGCGCCTCGCAGCCCTGCCGTGCGCGCTCGCACAGAGAGCGGCACGGGGGCAGCGCCTGTTCGAGCACCGTGCATACTGGCGCATACATGGAGCAGAGGAAGAACTTTAAATCCGGGGAGCACTGCACTTTCACCAGCGGGTAGAACTGGTGGACCTCCAGCCCCGCGTCCTCCTGGTTGGTGTGACCCAGTAAATTCGGCATGATGGTCTCGTTGTAGGCGATATCCGTACACAGCGGAATGGAGATCGGTTGGCAGAATCCGTGCTCCGGGACAGACATTCCTCGGTCCCCGCCGCCGTACTGCCCGTTTACTCCGAAAATCCCCATGTTTATGAAGAGAATAAAAAACAACAAAGTAAACACGGTGCGGAGCGGCCTGCTGTAAAACATACTGAAGAATTGATCTTCCGCCGCACTTTCTATTTGTTTCTGAACTAACTTGCGTTATCTCACCAGGCAGCAGCTACTTCCCTGAATGCTCTTTGTTGGCGTTTCTTTACAAGGTAAAAAGCAGCTTCTTCTCTAGTCCCGTCCCCCGGCTTCTCACCGAGCCGAGCTCATATGAAATGTGACCAAAAAATCCACAGCTTTTAATCACAAACTCGGATTCTCCGGCTAAAATCCACGAAATAAACCATATTTCTCCAGCAAAGGAGTCTTCAGTGTGCCCAACACAGCGTCAATCTGCCTTTCAAACCTGTTCTGCTCTACCTAATTCCTATTCCCAGCGAAGTCAAGTACAGCGCGATTCAAAGTGGCTTCCGGTACAGACTTTCTAAATAAAAGTCCATGATACAGAATTGCACTGAATAGTTTTGAAATGGCTTTGAAAACTCAATAAAAAAGAATGTAATCCATGCTCTATTGTAGCATGTGGCATTTTTCTTAGCCTTGAATGTTGTTTTTATTGCTTTGCAGTATAACTTATCTGCTGCTATTTTTTAGTTAATTGTAATATTTATATATTTACATATCTAATCTGTACATATTTATATTATTATATGATTTATCTTTTTTAAGTACTAGATATTGTAATACTGCTAATTTCCCCACTGTGAGACTAACAAAGAAAAATCTTATTTAATATTTTTGTAATATTTTTAGACTTTATACATACATTTTTATATTTTAATAATATTTTATAATAATATTTTAGCAGTCTTCTTGGTCAGGTCTCCTTTGAGATCAATCTACCGTGAGACCCAGACATTTGGACCTTTTGTATATACACTGTTGCCCATAAAGTTGGAATAATTTTGTTTTCAGACACAATCCTCTGTTTATTCCTATTTAAATGCATCAGTAATCACTTTTAATCAGATGCAATGATTACATTATGTGTCCCAATTACCCAGGTGAAATGAAATAAATCACATTGTCACAATCATTTCATGGAAAGAGGTAAAAAATATTTAGTGTATTATACAAATCCAAAAAATAAAAACAGATTTAAATCAAACAAAAGGAAAATAAAACATTACATTTTTACATTTTAGGCCAATAAAGAAATTTGTTTTTAAAGTTTTGTTTGAATAAATAATTTGAACAAATAGTTTCCCAAAGTGTCACCATTGTCATGATATGGCCCGTGTCTACCCTAAAGTACATTCTACCTATAATCAAGAGCTGTGAAAACCATAAAGGAAGAAAATAGAATTACACTTATTTTTTACTAAAAGTAGTACATTGCATATGGTATTGCATACAGGGTATACTCAGCTAAACTACAACTGCATGCAATTACAACTTCCTTTTTTCATCTGATTCACTTTAACTGGCTTTACAGCTCTCTCTCTCTCTCTCTCTCTCTCTCTCTCTCTCTCTCTCTGCTCTGCGCCCCCCCCCCCCCCCCCCCCCCCCCCATCTGTCTCCCAGTTGGATTTAACAGATGGGGGTTAGAGAGGTTCTGCATTTTTCCTAATGTTTGTCTGAATTGCAGAGGTTCATTTCAGCTTACCTCTGCTCTATTACTGGCACGATTGCTTGACGAACAGCGCTGCCAAGCATGTTAAAGGACCCTACCAGTGTTTTTGCAAGTTTCACCTGCTTACCTACAAAAATCATGTAAACTTCATCTTCACTGCTTTTTTTCCATTTTCAGATATAAATGACATTGGTGTCCATTCATTTCATTGGGTATAAAATTAGCAAACTCTGTTCGAGCTAGTATCAGGATAACAATGATAATCAAATAACAGTCTAAAAATGTGAGAATTAGATAGATAGCAAGATCATACCAAGATAATAAGATATTTAACTAATAATCTCAAGATTAACAAATTAAATAAAATTATGGCTTCAATAACAGGCAAAGTCTTGGCAGTATTTGGAGCCTGGACAACTTTAGCAATTATAAACAATTATTAAAATAGTTTGCTTTCTATTTAAAGCTGCTATATTCGGTATTTTAATATTAACAGCGGATGTTTCTGCTGCTCTCAAATGGCCCAAACAAGTCAATTAATTCAGGTTTACAACAGAATTAGTCCTGTTCAATCATCATATGCCTTTAGACACAATATTATGTCTTCTCATTTAGTCTCCTCAGTACAGAAGCTCTGAAGGTAAGTGAGAAAAAAAATCTGGTGATGCATTTTTTAAGTCTGATCTATTGTGTTTTCTCTGTGTTTATGGCTTAAGAACAGATAAAATAAGGTTTTGTCAGGATAATCTTTCTAAGAATTACTTAATTTTTTTCAGATATGAAACAGGTGGAAAAAAAAGATTTGCCAGGTGAAGAACAAAAAGAGGTTTCCAAATATCATTGTTCTAGACTTTTAAAGTTTTGGCAGGTAATTTTTTAAAATACCATAACCATATTAATTAAAATTGTCAAATTGTATCCACAGAGTCTATTCTTTTGTGTGTAGCTATCATTAAATGTACAAAATTATCCTATTTCCTTAGCAAGTGTCCAAATGAGTGGGGCACACTCTTTAGGGTTTTTTTTTTATCTTTAATTTGGTAAAACATCCCTCTCCTAAGGGGTAAAGTGTTTGTTATTGATGTTTTTCACTCACTAGCTAGCGGGCTAAAAGGTAAAGTCAGTATGGGTAATGCTAATGGCAGATTAGTGCCAATTACAATACATTTATAATCAAAACAAAGACATGACATGCTGTCCTAAAAGAAAATACAGTATATGTACCTCGTGTTTATAGTGATAGAGTAAAGAAATTAAAAATGACCTGGAAGAAAACATGAATGCTTTTAGTCCTATTCAGACTGGCATAGAGGTGCACTTTAGCCTCTTGTGGCCAAAACAACTCCCCGACTCGTTTTGTCTTTTTTTCACTTGCCTCCTAGGCTTCAACATTGAGGAGATGAATCATTCAAAAAGTGTGATTAAAACACAACTAGACATGTTATTTGTATGAATACAAAGTGAAGAAATCTTAAACAAGAAAACAATTTAGATCAGATTTAGTATTTTCTTTTGTCATTTGCGTCTCTGGGCTTCCATACCTCACAGTGTTAATCTCTCACATGAATTGGAATCTACTCCCCTGAAATAAAGTATGCATGATACAACACTTCTCTATGTGCAGGAAGAATGCAGCTTGAGAACGTATTTCCTGTCATTTCCAAGCACCAGTAAAGACATAACTTCCTGTAATCAGCCCTCACACAAAGAATGTATTTATTACTGAGCAGGGTGAAATCAGCAGAAGGTGGAAAGATATATACAATCTGTAATGCAGACACGATGAGAGCAACACATTCCATCCAACACTGTAGCTGTTTGTCTGATATCAGGAGGGAAGAAGCAAGTAGTGTAAAATGCACATTGACAAAGAATGCTAGATTTTCCTCCTCCTCACCTACAAGTAAGCCTTTGTTTAACTGGCATCTGTGACTAAATGCAATGTCTAACTAAAGGATAGTTTTTCTTGAAAAGTGAAAGAAAACCAAAAACTTTATATAAAGATGGATGTAGCCTCTGTGACGTCACCCACAGGATTCTGAAAAGCGGTTTTGAAGCTCACAGTGAGCTGCTCCACCATCACTATTTTGGCCAGTGTCTGACTCCAACTAACTCCCAGCTAATCCAAAAATGGGCAAAGAGGTGGGGCGTGTGTGGAGCTGAGACTTTGGTGCATGTTGGTTTGTGGCGATTAAATGCCCACACGTTCAGCCACCTGTCACACAAAGTGGCCATGCGTAGCAACATGCATAAAGATATAAATGCTTAAATGTTTGTCAATATTGACATTTTATACCTCGTTAGCGCAGATAAATCATCCACAATTTAACAATCCGGTTAATTTTTCAGTAACTATGAGTACTATCAATGCATAATTAATTCAGATTTATCAGCATTGTACACCAGGAAGTGGTTGTGACTCACTACCATTGAAGAGATTGTGAACTCCAACCATTCCTTTATATTCCTTTACTCCAGAAGGGTCCATAGATAAAAAAGAAAATCAAAGGGCTTGTAGCGGACATACCTGGTCTGGCGTCACAAGCCATTAAAGAAGTTCATCGGAAGGACATGCAGAGTTATGGAAAACATTCACACTGTTCTATAACCCATGTGATGTTTCTATGTAATAAGTCAATTCCCTGTCTATCAGAATGGCTGAAATACATAGATTCCAAAATAATATCTTTCATTTGACTTACTGTCAGCATTCTTCACACAACAGACATTGTAGACATTCACAGTGTCTTCATCATCATCAGTGTAGCCAAATAATTGCTGTGCAATCCACATTTATAGACTATTAGCTTTAGGAAATGTTTATTATGTTGCTTGATCAATTAACCAATTGTATTATGCCTAAATCAAGGCCTTGAAGGATGTAGTATTGTACACAGCAAAAATTGGGGAGTTAAAATTTCAGGGTTAAACATCTGGGAGTTGATTTTAACTCCCAAAGTGTAAAATGAAGACATTTGGTTTAAAATGGTGTCCAGAGTGGGAGTTATATCAGAGAGTGGATCAGATCAGTGTTAGTTTAACTCTGCTAAGACGTAATTAAGCTCCGCCTTTTCTCCCTGAACTTCACTTCTTCAGCGAGAGAAGTGAGTCAGCGCCATTTTCCTCCTCATGCATGTCAAACATGGTAAGTGAAATTTAGTTGAAATTCACTAAACAATTATGAATTGATAGTTTGAACTGCAGTATGTAAAATAATACGTTGAATATATATGCGTTACAAAGCCTTGTTTGTCGGACTGAACAGCAAATTTATCCACATGTGGTGAGCTAGCAAGATATGGTACCGTTAGCTTAATTAGATAACCGCTAATTACTAAACCTGTCTGCAACTATCAATGACAAGATAACAACAAGCTGCTGTTATCTTTTTTACTGTATAAAGTCTTGTTTGAGGCTGGAGTGAACGGTCTTGTTTTATTTTTGTTATTTGCCTTCACTGTAGTTGACCATGAAGGTTGCTGTTAAAAACATGTCTCAACATGTAGACACGTGTTTCTCCTGTCTTGTGTGACCGGGACTTAACTTACCCTTATTCCTGTTACTGTTAATTTACTTTGTGAATATTTTTTGCATGTCCAAGTAAAAAAATGCTGGTTCAGGTAAAGCACAACAGACAGCAGAAGTATGTGAAGTTGGCTTAGGTAGAAGGACAGTTTGACTTTTGTCAATTCCACGAAAATGGTAAGTTAGGCAATTTTTTTAAGCTTGACTTAAAAAAAAAGTTTAAAAATACACCCATGCTGTTTTATAACCTCTTTCTGCAAGCTCAAAATTTGAAAAAATATTCCCCTTTTATGAGCT